CCACACTATCACACCCTGTCCACTATCACACCCCTGCCACACCATCACACCCCTGCCACACTATCACACCCTGGCCACACTATCACACTCTACCACACTATCACACCCTGCCACACTATCACACCCCCACACACACCCCCACACACACACCCCCACACACACACCCCACACACACACCCCCACACACCACCACACCCTCCACACTATCACACCCTGGCCACACTATCACACCCTTGCCACACTATCACACCCTCCACACTATCACACCCTATCCACACTATCAACCTGCCACACTATCACACCCCTACACACTATCACCTACCAATCACCTGACACCCCACACACCACAACCTATCACACCCTGCCACACTATCACACCCTACTACACTATCACACCCAGCCACACTATCACACCCTCACACACTATCACACCCTGGCCACTCATCACACCCTGCCACACTATCACACCCTCGCCACACTATCACACCCCTGCCACACTATCACACCCTGGCCACACCATCACACCCTCGCCACACTATCACCTGCCACACATCACACCTGCCACACACACCTACATCACACCCTCACATCACACACCCACCCCACACACTGGCCACACTACAAAGTCAGTGACGATAGATCTGTAAATTAATCTGCCAGGTGGTGTGTGTGTGTGTGTGTGTGTGTGTGTGTGTGTGTGTGTGTGTGTGGTTAATGTTTTGTTTACCTGTATGATGAGACAGCTGTACCATCACTGACACCACCACCAACACTGACACCACCACCACCACTGACACCACCACCACCACCACTGACACCACCACCACCACTGACACCACTACCATCACCACCACCACCTTGTTGAGGTCTCCCTGACCAGCTGAGGCAGGTAAACAATGGATTGAAAGTTAGAGGGGGACAGTTAGTCTTCCTTCAACACCTGGACACAGCACAGACTGCCTCTCTCTCTCTCTCTCTGTAGGTCAGATCATTGCCAGTCTCAGAGGTTTGTTATTCTCCATATTTTCCTCCACAACTTGGAGTACACTCGGTCAGAACAGGAACAGCCGAGTCACTGCCAACCTGGTTTGGACAAGTCACTGTCACTATATCCTCAGCTGCCTTCATTGTCAGCTACCTTCACAGCTACCTTCATTGTCAGCTACCTTCGAATACCATCACTCCTGAGCTGTTTTCACTGTCAGCTGCCTTCTGTCAATTGCCTTCCTGTGAGGACCAGTTCCCTCAGGATACAGGTCGCTACAGCTCTCCTGTACACCTGCCGTCTTATGACTACAGTACTGAAGACTATAGCAGAGGCAATACGTGGACAGTTACTCACTGTTGGTGGTGAGGACACACACACACACACACACACACACACACACACACACACACACACACACACACACACACACACACACACAGTGCCTCCCTCCTCCCTCACTGTACCATTGTTTACTAACATTCAACCCTGCCTGGATCCCTCTTACTCTCCTCCTCCCCTCTCCAGCCCTCTCCTCCCCTCCCCTCCCAGCCCTCTCTTCCTCACCAGCTTTTCCCCCACTTCAGCCCACTCCCCTCGCCTACCCTCACCAGCAATCTCCCCTCCTCCCTCTTCCTTCATCACACCTGCACCTCTTCTCCTTCACTATCCTCCTCCTTCCCTCACATCACTTCTCCTCTCCACCCTCTCCCCTCACTCCCTCCCTCTCTCCCCTCCCCTCTCCCTCCTCCCCTCCCTCTCCCCCATCCTTCCTCATCTCCTCCCCAACACACTCCATCCCTCCCATCCCCCCCCACTCCCTCCCGCCCCCCTCCCCTCCCACCCCCCTTCCCGCCCTCCCTCCCTCTCCTGCCACTTATCCCTCCCCACACCTTACATCATGCTAACACAGGAACACAAGTACACACAGATATACACACAGGTATACACGCTGTCATTACCTACACCCAACCGTACAACACAAGGAGATGTTTTTAATGTTGGTTACACACACACACACACACACACACACACACACACACACACACACACACACACACACACACACACACACACACACACACACACACACACACACACACACACACACACACACACACACACACACACACACCTTCCCTCCCTCCCTCTTTACACACTAAATCTTCCCACCACCATCCTTCCTTCCTTCCTTCCTTCTCCCTCTCTCCTGAGTAAACTTTTTAACTCTCCCTTCTCTTCCTCTCCCTCCTCTCCTTCCCCTCTCCTTCTTACCGTCTGTTGTTCCTTCTCTTCCCTTCTTTACTCCTTCACATACCGTATACCCGTTCTTCTCTTTCTCTTATTTTATTTCCTTTCTCTCTCGTTCTCTTTTTACCTTCCCTATTCTCTCTATCTTATGGGTCAAGTATTACGTTTTATCTCTCTATCTCTCTCTCTGTTTCCCCATTTTATTCCCTCCTCCTCTTCCACGTTCTGTCCTTCTCTCCCCCTCTTTTCCCCTCCTTTCTTATCCTCCTTCTCCTGTCTCCTTTAATCCACTCACCTCCTTTTTTCCTCTTATGCTTCAATTCTTCCGTCACTCTTCCTCTCCTCTCCTCTCTCCCTTCCCATACTCCTGCCCATACCTCCCTTCCTACAATTATTCTTCCAGTCCTCCTCCCTTCCCTCTTTCTCCCCTCCCCTTTCTCCTCTATCCACCCCCTGACAGGTGACGACAAAGGGGGAGGGTCAGAGACAATTAAGTGTACAGCTGACGGTGGACGTAAGGCGAAAAATCCCAGAGCTCTTTATAAAGTTAACGAAAGAATTAGAAAAAAAATAACGAGAGAAAGAGACCTGGCACAAACTTGATGCAATTAAGTAGGCTGAGTGGACGCCAGGCAGTAGTCTGGGAGAGGTTGTGTCTCTGGCTATCGTTCACCTCTCGTTATGCATGGTTGATACAGGGAGGTTAAAGGGAGGAAGGGAGGATAAGAGCAGGAGGATAGAGAGGAAGATGAGGAAGGAGAGAAGGAGATAGTCAAGGAGAACTTGTGTCTAAGTATCGTTCACCTCTCGTTATGCATGGTTGATACAGGAGGTTAAAGGGAGGAAAGAGGAAGGATAAGGGCAGGAGGAGGATAGAGAGAGAGGGAGGGAGAAGAATCGTCAGGGAGAACTTGTGTCTAAAAGTATCGTTCACCTCTCGTTATACAGGGAGGTTAAAGGGAGGAAGGAGAAAGGAGGATGGTGCAGGAAGGAGGAGAGGGGAGGAGGAGGGAGATCGTCTGGGAACACCTGCGTTTATGACTATCGTTCACCCTCGTTATGCATGGTTGAGACAGGAGGTTAAAAGGAAGGAAGTGAGATTAAGGAAGGAGGGAAGTAGAGAGATAGAAAGGAGGAGGAATAGATGGAGGAGAAGAGAAGTGGGAAGGAGGAGGAAGGTACAAAGGAAAATAGGGAGGAGGAGAGGGAGAGGTATAAAGGGAGAAAAAGGGGAGGGAGTAGGGGAGTAGGTGGAGGGTGGAGAGTAGGGGAAGGAAGAAGGATTGGGAAGGGGCGTTGGGAAGGGTATGGGAAAAGAGCGAGAAGGGAGAAGTAGGGGATGGGAGGGGTGAAAGGAGTGAGAACGGTGGGGAGTGAGAGCAAGGAGAGTGTTGTGGGAGAGTGGGTGGAGAGTGGGTGGAGGAGGGTGGAGAGTTGAAGTGGTTGAAGATGCAAGTCAGGGAAATGGTTGAGGAGGCAGAAGGGGAGGGGAGGAGCAGGAAAGGGAGGGAGGCAGGGAGAGAGAGGAGACAGGGAGGGAGGGGGAGGGCAGGAGGAGGGAGGAGGGGGAGGGAGGGGGAGGGCAGGGGGAGGCAGGGGAGAGAGGGGGAGCAGGGGAGGGAGGGGCAGGGGAGGGGGAGGCAGGGAGGAGAGGAGCAGGGGAGGCAGGGAGGGGGAGGCAGGGAGAGGGAGGGAGGCAGGGGAGGGGAGGGCAGGGAGAGGAAGGGGGAAGAGAGAGATAGAAGGGGAAGGGATAGGGAGGGGGAGGGAGAGGGAGGGGAGGGAGAGGAAGGAGGAGGGAGGGAGGGGGAGGCAGGGGAGGGAGGGGGAGGCAGGGAGAGGGAGGAAAGGAAGGGAGGGTGAGGCAGGGAGAGGGAGCGGAGAGGAGTTAAAGCGACAGGTGCAAAGGCCAGAGATATGGCAGTGTGATGAGAGAGAGAAACGTCACCTTGGCTCCTACTCTCCCACTGACACTATCATACACCTCTCTCTCTCTCTCTCTCTCTCTCTCTTATCTTCAACTATGGACGCGCCTCTCTGTGGGGGGTCCTTACCTACCTCACCTTCACCTGTCACCTCCACAACCAGGCACAGCAGGGTGGGGGAGGTGTGGTGGAGGTGATGGGAGGTGTGGTGGAGGTGATGGGAGGTGTGGTGGAGGTGATGGGAGGTGTGGTGGAGGGTGATGGGAGGTGTGGTGGAGGGTGATGGGAGGTGTGGTGGAGGGGTTATGGGAGGTGTGGTGGAGGGTGGGGAGGGTGTGGTGGAGGTGGGGAGGTGTGGTGGAGGGTGATGGGAGGTGTGTGGTGGAGGGTGGGGAGGTGTGGTGGAGGTGATGGAGGTGTGGTGGAGGGTGAGGGGAGGTGTGGTGGAGGTGGGGAGGTGTGGTGGAGGTGATGGAGGTGTGGTGGAGGGTGGGGGAGGTGTGGTGGAGGGTGATGGAAGGTGTGGTGGAGATGGGAGGTGTGGTGGGGGTGATGGGAGGTCTGGTGGAGGAGGGTGGGAGGTGTGGTGGGGTGAGGGGTGGTGGAGGGTGATGGAGGTGTGGTGGAGGGTGGGGAGGTGTGGTGGAGGGTGGGGACGTGTGGTGGAGGGTGATGGGAGGTGTGGTGGATGGTGGGAGGTGTGGTGGAGTGAGGGGAGGTGTGGTGGAGGGTGAGGGAGGTGTGGTGGAGGGTGAGGGAGGTGTGGTGGAGGTGAGGGAGGTGTGGTGGAGGGGAGAGGAAGGTTGGCGGAGGCAGGGCGATCAGCAGAGGGCGGTGACCCTAGACCCTCGTGGGTGGCAGACTGGGTGGCGTGTCGGGCAGCAAGCTGGGTGGCAGGCTGGGTGGAGGAGGTTGGGTCATGGGTCGGGCAGCAGGCTGGGTAGCAGGCTGGGTGGCAGGCTGCATGGGAGGCTGGGCAGGCTGGGTGGCACTCTGGGTGGCAGGCTGGTGGCAGGTTGGGTGGCAGGCTGGGTGGCAGGCTGGGTGGGAGGCTGCATGGGAGGCTGGTGGCGGGCTGGTTGGCAGGCTGGGCGGGCTGGGCGGCAGGCTGGGTGGCAGGCTGGGCGGCAGGCTGGGTGGCAGGCTGGACGGCAGGCTGGGTGGCAGGCTGGGTTGGCAGGCTGGGTGGCAGGCTGGACGGCAGGCTGGGTGGCGGCTGGGCAGCAGGCTGGTGGCAGGCTGGGCGCAGGCTGGGTGGCGGCTGGACGCAGGCTGGGTGGCAGGCTGGACGGCAGGCTGGGCAGGCTGGACGGCAGGCTGGTGTGGCGCTGGGTGGCAGGCTGGACGGCAGGCTGGGTGGCAGGTTGGACGGCAGGCTGGGGAGGCTGGACGGCAGGCTGGGTGGCGACGGGCGGGAGTGGACAGCAGGCTGGGTGGCAGGCTGGACAGCAGGCTGGGTGGCGGGCTGGACGGCAGGCTGGGTGGCAGGCTGGACAGCGGCAGGCTGGGTGGCAGGGGCTGGACGGCAGAGCTGGGTGGCGGGCTGGACGGCAGGCTGGGTGGCAGGCTGGACGGCGGCAGGCGGGTGGCAGGCTGGACGGCAGGCTGGGTGGCGAGCTGGACAGCAGGCTGGTGGTGGGTTGGACGGCAGGCTGGGTGGCAGGCTGGACGGCAGGCTGGGTGGCAGGCTGGACGGCAGGCTGGGTGGCAGGCTGGACAGCAGGCTGGGTGGCAGGTGGACGGCAGGCTGGGTGGCAGGCTGGACGGCAGGCTGGGTGGCAGGCTGGACGGCAGGCTGGGTGGGCTGACGGCAGGCTGGGTGGCAGGCTGGGGCAGAGCTGTGGCAGGCTGGACGGCAGGCTGGTGGCGGGTTGACGGCGGGCTGGGTGGCAGGTTGGCGCGCTGACGCAGGCTGGGTGGCAGGATGGACAGCAGGCTGGACGGCAGGAGTGGGCAGCAGGATGGGTGGCAGGCTGGGCAGCAGGATAGGTGAGGCTGTGGCGGCAAAGCGGTGGGCGGACGCAGGCTGGGCGCAGGCTGGGTGGGGGCTGGGCGGCAGGCTGGAGCAACAGGGTTGTCAGCAGGGGTGGAGTGGCAGGCTGGGTGGCGGGCTGGGCGGCAACAAATTAAAGAGGTAGTGCCACCATCACCAGTTTTCCAAAAATTTCACGATGGTGATTAGGCCTCCTCTCTCTCTCTCTCTCTCTCTCTCTTATCTACACTTGCTCTACCTCTCATTTCTCTCTCTCTCTCTCTCTCTCTCTCTCTCTCTCTACCTCTCTCATTCTCTACCTATCTGTATCTCTCTCCGTCCCACACACACACACACACACACGACAGTCATATAAACACCGTGAAGACCTCCTGTATACTACTAACTCACACCACTAACCTAACCTACCTAACCTAACTAACCTAGCACCGATACTTGCCCATAGGTGTTGTGGCAGGAGGTGGAAACACAACTTAAACACACTGCTCCCACCACCTGTGCACACACACACACACACACACACACACACACACACACACACACACACACACATCCATTACATACACAAACATTTACATCAAACACTACTCTAAACTCACATACATACATACACACACAAACAAAACACATACACACACAAACACCTGCTCCCCGTACACACACACACACAAACACAACCATCCACTACCTGTTGGCATTACAAAAACAATAATCTAGTTGTTTTATGTTTGATCGACAAACACACACACAGAACAAGATGAAAATGAATAAAAAGAGAGAAGCTTTGTTAACTACAGTGAAACAAAGATGATGATGATGATGACAGTTGAAGAAGAAGAAGAAGAATTATTATGACAACCTAACAGACGATAAGCGTAAGAATTTAAAAGAAAAAAATTCACCAATGGAAAACAACAACAACAACAACAACAATAACACTATCACCACCACCACCAACAACAACAACACAATAACACTATCACCACCACCAACAACAACAACAACAATAACAATAACACTATCACCACCACCACCACCACCACCAACAACAACAACAATAACACTATCACCACCACCACCAACAACAACAACAACAACAATAACACTATCACCACCACCAACAACAACAACAACAATAACACTATCACCACCACCACCACCACCAACAACAACAACAACAACAATAACACTATCACCACCACCACCACCACACCACCACCAACAACAACAACAACAACAATAACACTATCACCACCACCAACAACAACAACAACAATAACACTATCACCACCACCACCACCAACAACAACAACAACAATAACACTATCACCACCACCACCACCACCACACCAACAACAACAACAACAACAATAACACTATCACCACCACCACCAACAACAACAACAATAACACTATCACCACCACCACCACCACCAACAACAACAATAACACTATCACCACCACTCACCACCACCACCACCACCACACCACCAACAACAACAACAACAACAATAATAACACTATCACCACCACCACCAACAACAAACAATAACACTATCACCATCACCACCACCACCAACAACAACAATAACACTATCACCACCACTACCACCACCACCACCACCAAACAACTACAACAACAACAACAATTATCAGTATATATTTATGAGCCGCCTCACAATAACACATGAATTACAAACTGCTGTCTGTTTATAATAAGGGGAGGGAGGGGAGGGGAGGGAGGGAGGGAGGGGGAGGGGAGGGAGAGGGGAGGAGGGAGGGGAGGGGGGAGGGGAGGGAGGGGGAGGGAGAGGGGGAGGGGGAGGGGTGAAGAGGGGAGGGTGTGGGGAGAGGAGGAGAGGAATGGGAGAAGTGTGTGGAGGGAAGGGGAAAGGAAGGGGTGTGTAGAGGGGGATGGGAGAAATGTGTGGGGAAGGGAAGGGAGGGTATGTGTGGGGAGGGGAGGAGAAAGGTGTGTGGGGGAAGGGAAAGGGAAAGGGGTGTGGAAAGGGGGAGGAGGGTAAAACTCTGGATGATATAATGACCACACACACACACACACACACACACACACACACACACACACACACACACATAGGTGCGTATTAATCCCCGGGAAGGACACACACAAGTACACAGGTGTGTAATACCTCTGAAGGACGCACTTCGATACACACTAGTGTGTACTACGCCCGGGGCAGGACGTACACAGGTACACACAGGTGGTACACACACACACCTCGATATAATCAATAGAGCGACGTTACCTGACTCCTGCCCTCCCTTACCTCCTCCCCCACATCCTCTCCCTCCCCACATAACCAGCACCTGCAGCTGTACCAACAACAACAACAGTACAGCAGGATGCCCAGGGACGGCAGGGGAGACAGAGAGGCGGGGTGGCAGGGAGGCAGGAGGCGGGTGGGGCAGGGAGGCGGTGGCAGGAGGCGGGGTGGCAGGAGGCAGGGAGGTCGGGGTGGCAGGAGGCGGTGGCAGGGAGACAGGAGGCGGGAGGCAGGGAGGCAGGGAGGCGGGGTGGCAGGGAGGCGGGGTGGCAGGGAGGCAGAGGTGGCAGGGAGGTGAGGGAGGCAGGGTGGAGGGAGGCGGGGGTGGCAGGGAGGGCAGGCGGTAGGGTAGGTGTAGGAACGTGTACAGAATACTGGCGGGACACACACACGTAACATGGCTGGCAGTTCAGTGATCAGTACTCTCTAGACAGCTGTGTACTTGGCTATGTACTCTCTAGAAGCTGTGTACGTGGCTATGCACTCTCTAGACAGCTGTGTACGTGGCTATGTATCTAGACAGCTGTGTACGTGGCTATGTACTCTCTGGACAGCGTGTACGTGGCTATGTACTCTCTGAGCTGTGTACGTGGCTATGTATCTCTAGACAGCTGTGTACGTGGTTAATTTACGACCGTCACTCACCTGAGACTATTAAGCACTGATCACACACACACACACACACACACACACACACACACACACACACACACACGCGCGCGCACACACACACACACACACACACACACACACACGCGCGCGCACACACACACACACACATTATTATTATTATCACACTGACAAATATCATCTAATGCTCTTTCCTTCAGTTGTCCACCGTTGAAAGCATGACTTCATTATTTATTTACCTGCAGAGCTCCACAACAGCACCTGTAATCACCTGAGCTCACCTTTCAACACCTGGGCTGACTGTCTACAAACTGAGCTGACTGTCTACAACCTGAGCTGACTGTCTACAACCTGAGCTGACTGTCTACAATCTGAGCTGACTGTCTACAATCTGAGCTGACTGTCGATAACCTGAGCTGACTGTCGATAACCTGAGCTGACTGTCTACAACCTGAGTTGACCTGAGTACCTGGGCTGACCTTTGAACACCTGAGCTGACCACAACAAGATGTCTGCCAAAGTGTCCGGGGACTCTAACCTAACCTAATCTTACCTAACCTATCCTCGCCCTCATCTTCAGTATAATTAGTTAGAAGATTACTGAGCCAAACATAGAGACAACCAAGTCGAGAGTCTTAAAAGGTTCGTATATTATCAATTTCCTCTAAACTAAAGATTAAAGAACAAATAATTAAGTTATAGTAGAGTCTTTGTACAAGTCGGTATGCATTTTGTCAGGTAATATTAAGCGGTAGAATAAATGTTTTTTTTTATATATAATCGTAAATCTTCAGCTCAAGATGTGTCGTGTGATCCTAGGCCATGGCATGTTAGGTACGTCAGCTGACTATCAATAACAATCACAGACGCGCTGCCAGACGCATGACTGACACACAACACAGTGACTCATGGTCAAGGCTTTTGTGACCCACCTGACCAACACACCTGCCCGTGTAATATATTTGTTTATGATCAATTACTGCCATTGTGTGTGTGAACAAAATACCTTAATGCGTTCACTAATTTGATGAAACTGTTGTAGGTAAGGTAGAGGTTGTTCAAGGAAGGAGTGACGTAATCCTGGAGAGAGATTTATCTGATACCAACATAAATTAATTTAAGATGTTAACAAAATACACATTATTCCAACAGAACTGACGGACATAAACACCAAATGACGTCAACAAATCAGCTGATGTCAACACAAATCAGCCGATGCCAACACCGATCCGCTGATGTCAGCAGAGATCAGCTGATGTCAGCAGAGATCAGCTGATGTCAACACAAATCAGCTGATGTCACATCAGTGCTGTCAACACCGATCCGCTGATGTCAGCAGAGATCAGCTGATTCACAGAGATCAGCTGATGTCAACACAAATCAGCTGCTGTCAACACATCAGCTCCTACCCATTACCCCACCCATCCCATGCTCCTACCAACCCATTCCCACCCATTCCACAGCTCCCTACCAACCATTACCCACCCATCCCATAGCTCCTACCCAACCCATTACCCCACCATTCCACAGCTCCCTACCCACCCATTACCCCACCATCCCATAGCTCCCTACCCAACCCATTACTACCCATTCCACAGCTCCCTGCAACCCATTACCCACCCATCCATAGCTCCCTCCAACCCATTACCCCACCATCCCGCTTCCTACACCCATACCCCCCATCCCGCCTCCCTACCAACCCATTACCCACCCATTCCACAGCTCCCTACCAACCCATTACCCACCCATCCATAGCTCCCTCAACCCATTACCCCACCCATCCCATAGCCCTACCCAACCTCCCCACCCATTCCATAGCTCCCTCCAACCCATTACCTTAACAAAAGCGAACATGAATCCGATTCCCAGGATGAGTAAAATGGGGGAATATTTACCGTAAATCCCCATTCATGTTTGAGTCGTGGGGAAAAAATAGTTAAATGTGAGACCAGGTGGTGTTTGTTGTGTATTGTGGAGGTGAGGTAAAAGTGAGGCGTGTGTCTGACCATAGATACTGTGGCTGAGGGTGTGGCTGTGGGTGGTGAGTGGTGGATTAGGGTCGTGGGTGTAGGTGTGAGTGGTGGCTGAGGGTGTGACTGTGGGTGGTGAGTGGTGGATTAAGGTGTGGGTGTAGGTGTGAGTGGTGGATTAGGGTCGTGGGTGTAGGTGTAGTGGTGGGTGTAGGTGTGATGGTGGGTGCAGGTGTGGTGGTGGTGTAGTGGTTGGTGGGTGTAGATGTGATGGTGGTGAGTGTAGGGGTGGGTGGTGAGTGGGATTAGGGTCGTGGGTGTAGGTGTGAGTGGTGGATTTGAGTGTAGGGGTGGGTGGTAGTGGTGGATTAAGATCGTGGGTTTAGGTGTTGGTGTAGGGTGGCGTGGTGGTGGATTTCAGTGGTGGGTGTAGATGTGGGTGGTGGGTGTAGGTGTGGGTGGCGTGTGGTGGTGGATTTCAGTGGTGGGTGTAGATGTGGGTGGTGGGTGTGGTGTGGGTGGCAGTGGTGGATTAAGATCGTGGGTTTAGGTGTTGGTGTGAGGGTGGCGTGTGAGTGTGGGTGTGAGTGGTGGGTGTAGGTGTGGGTGGTGGGTGTAGGTTTGGGTGGTGGGTGTAGGTGTGGTTGGTGTGGGTGGTGTGTGTGGTGAGGTGGTGGTGTTGGTGGTGGGGTGTAGGTGGTGGTGGGTGTAGCGTGTGGTGGTGGGTGTAGGTGTGGTGGTGGGTGTGTGGTGGTGGGTGTGAGTGGTGGGTGTGGTGGGTGGTGTGTGTGTGGGTGGTGGGTGTAGGTGTGGTTGGTGTGGGTGTGTGTGAGTGGTGGTGGGTGTAGGTTGGTGGTGGGGTGGCGTGTGGTGGTGGGTGTATGTGGGTGGGTGGTGTGAGTGGTGGTGTGAGTGGTGGGTGTGTGTAGGTGTGGGTGGTGGGTGTAGGTGTGGGTGGTGGGTGTAGGTGTGGTTGGTGTGGGTGGTGTGTGTAGGTGATGGTGGGTGTAGGTGTGGGTGGTGGGGTGGCGTGTGGTGGTGGGTGTGAGTGGGTGGTGGGTGTGGTGGGTGGGTGTGGTGTGGGTGGTGGGTGTGGGTGTGGGTGGTGGGTGTGGGTGGTGGGTATAGGTGTGGGTATAAAGGTGTTGGTGTGGGTGGTGGGTGTGGGTGTGGGTGGTGGGTGTGAGTGGTGGGTGTAGGTGAGGTGGTGGGTGTGTAGGTGAGGGTGGTGGGTGTGGGTGGTGGGTGGAGGTGTGGGTGGTGGGTGTGTGTGGTGAGGGTGGTGGGTGTGGGTGGTGGGTGGAGGTGTGTGGGTGGTGGGTGTGTGTAGGTGAGGGTGGTGGGTGTGGGTGGTGGGTGGAGGTGTGGGTGGTGGGTGCGGTGGCAAAGTGAGGTGGCGTATGGGTGTAATGGGAATAATACCCGAGTGTGGATGATAGGTGTGGCTAGTGAAGGGTGGCGTGTGGGTGTGAGTGGTGGGCGTGGGTGGAGGATGGAGGGAGTTGGGTGGTCGGCATAGGGGTGTTTGTGTAGTGGGTGTAGGCATGATTGTGGTGGTGCTGATGGTAAGTGTGGGCGTGGGTGGAGGGGTTGGGTGGTCGGTATAGGGGTGTTTGTGTAGTGGGTGTAGGCATGATTGTGGTGGTGCTGATGGTAAGTGTGGTGGGCGTGGGTGGGAGGGAGTTGGGTGGTCGGTATAGGGGTGTTTGTGTAGTGGGTGTAGGCATGATTGTGGTGGTGCTGATGGTAAGTGTGGTGGGCGTGGGTGGAGGTTGGGTGGTCGGTATAGGGGTGTTTGTGTAGTGGGTGTAGGCATGATTGTGGTGGTGCTGATGGTAAGTGTGGTGGGCGTGGCCGTGGTGACAGACGAGGTGGGCGTGGCCGTGGTGACAGGCGTGGTGGGCGTGGCCGTGGTAGACATGATGAGTGATGGGAGAGGTGGCAGTGGGCGTGGCAGGAAGGAAGAGAGACAGACAGGTATAGGCCACAACACGGGCGGGTCATTCATAGTACACGCCGAGTAGTCTGTCATCCATTAAAGATGACAAACCCTGCCACTCACTTCATTAATAGTCAGATTTTACCACTCCCAGCCTACGTCCTGGGGGGAGGGGGCTTCTGGGGCTGGGCGGTACTAAGGGCTGAGGGACTTTAAGTACATGGGGTTACTGCGGTGCGGTACTGGGGGCTGGAACGGTACTGGGAGCTGAGGGCTGATGTACATGGGGTTACTGCGGTGCGGTACTGGGGGCTGGAACGGTACGGGGACTGGTGCGGTACTGGGGGCTGGAACGGTACTGGGGACTGGTGCGGTACTGGGGCTGAGGGACTGAAGTACATGGGGATCCGGGGCT